CAACAGCCCCCGCCCACATAGGACATACATCCTCAAAAAAGAGCCCGCGACACCAAAGACTGGGGTTGCAACAACAAGGGGGAGGGGGGGGGGGAGAGAGTCGCAAACACAAGGAGGGGGGGGGGGGGAGGGGGAGGGGGGTGGGTGGGGGGGCCTAGCAAAGCAAGCCACAACAGTCCAATAAAAAGCAGAGTAATGAAGAACAGTAGCGCTCCTTAAAACCAAACGTCCCAAAGCTGGACCCAACAACACCCACGAGAATTCGCAGCCACGTAAACGAAAACAAAATAAAAGACGAAACCCCAAAGACGGGGACCACAAAGAAGAATCACTGGAGACAAGAGGTGCACAAACGATGCAGTAAAAACGCAAGCACAGCAGGGCAGAAAGCGTAAGGTGAGCCAGTAGACCCAAACATCCACTAACGACAAATACCACAACCACGGGGTGTGGAACACAACGCACACACAAGGGTCATCGAGGCTGGAGAGATGAGCCCATCGAGAACGGCAAATAAACGAGAAGAACAGCAAGGGAATACAACTACCACGAGTAGGCGACAACAAACACTAAACAACACTAATGAACCATAAGCAGCACCACACTGCCACATAACAAGGAGGGGGCGCCTGGACAGACACCAAACGAGATAAAGGTCACCACAGCAATTTCTGCAAACAGGGAGTGGGAACGGATAAGGAGGAAGGGTATGAACAAAGTAGACCATAACAGTAACAAAGGAATACAGGACGGGCTAGGCGAGCAACGCACGCAACAAATACAAATTTTGTCATGGGGCATCGGCCAACAAACACCTATTAACCGAGATCGTTACTAGTTTAAGATAACCAACACGTGCATCAAAAGAGATCGATCCATACTAGCCGGCCCCCACCCGAGTGAAGAAATAAAGGGCGGTCTAGGTGCTCCGCGGGTGGGGTGAGAATCAGCCCTTGAAGCAACCCCTCCAGAAGACTCAGAAACATTGGCACGAGACGGAGATAATAGCACCTGTAAGAACGAACAAGAAGAGAGAGAGACAAACGTCGGAAGTGTGAGCAACACCTGATATTGAATGGGCTTTTCGGTATGATCACAAAGCCTCATTTGAGGGGGCCAGCAGTTAGTTTCTGCGATGCCGTTAATCAGGTAATAACAACTTGGACGAATTCACCGGAGGGGGTCTTCATTAGTGTTTGTGGCTGGACGTCTGCACAGAACACCTTGGGATTTTGTGACAGGGCTTTATGGAAACCCCAACAAAAGGGCCTCAATCGAGGGCCATGTAGTTTTCGGACTTGCAGTAGTTACGTTAATAACCACTTGGACGGAAAATCCCGTCCCGGGGCTTCATTCGTGTTTGTGGATGATGGCGACGAGGGGCAGGTCCAGATGTTCATCACTTTGTTTCCGCCCAACCCATTATTGTAGCTACAGGGAACGGACAAACTAAAAACCACAGTTGGAAAATGTTCCAACCATCCTCGGTGAGTCATTTGTGAACTGTTGACAACTTTTGTTTTAGTTACTTTTGGGGCGCTTTGGATGACATTACTTTTAGGGTTTGAACACAACTCGGTGCTATCCAAACCTTTCGTGTGGAGTGTGTGTTTGTTGGTGGTCCCGAACACGGCTAGTTTTGTGTGCGAAAAAGCCAGTGGAACCCGTGTATTTTAATAAACCCACAAGCCGGGCAGACGCCCTACACCAAATGCTTAGCTGCCAGATGGCCTACCCGATTTCATTGCTAAGTGTGTGTGCTTCTATTGACCTCGATCGTTCCGCGCACTGTTTTATACACGGCTCTGGAACCGCCTACGTTCCAAGGAGGAACATTTTTTTTAAAATATTAAAAAAATCAGGGCGACTTGCGAGTCGCCATAATAATTCGCCTTTCCTTGTTACCCAACAGATTTCCGCACTCTTGTGCATCGCATCAATATAGTGCGCCCACGCAAGCAACCGCCACCAACCCGATCGGCGTAATTATAAGACACCGTGATTTTGGCTTCAACCGTCCCGCGCAACCGAGCACTACGCCGCAAAGCCTGAAGCGAGAGAGGACAACACATCAATCATACCCCCTTGGTTGTTCGTTGGTACCAAACCGCGCCGCAAATCATCTGGGAATATCTTTCGTTATGTTATCTGTTTTCCCTTTTGCATATATTTCCTTTTCCTTTTGTCTAGTTGTTGCTAAATCCGCTCGTGACACGAGTACGTTACAAGAGACCAGGGTAATTGCGGATCGGGTTTGTACTCCCCTTAACATTGAGTATTATTGAATATAAAAAGTTCATTTTATTAACAAAAATACTAATGCCATGGAGTCCTGAGCACATAATCAAGGTTCACGGGCAATATTCCTGAAAAAAAAAGGCAAAGTGTCCATTTCGTTTCTCGGTCACGAGAATTGATTGTTTTCCTGTTTGTCCTACCGGCTTCCCAAAAAAGCCAAAACGTGTTCGCTAGGGATGTTTGACCAGTTAAATCAAGTGTCGTTCTAAAACCCCCCCGTTTTATGCAGATGTTACGTGACCACTTGACCACAAAAACACTCTACACCCCTCACATGGTTTCGTTTCATGTTGTTTTGTCATCTATAACTGGAGAATACAGTTGCCAGACAGTTCGTGCCTTTGTCCACGCTATGGCCAAGTTTTCATTCAGTTCAAACTGACTTTCAATGGATTGGGCTGACAAATCTCGTTGGGTAAATTTGACAAAAAGCGCATCCCCTGTACCTAACAACATTACGTGGAGCTCAAATGAGTACGGCGTGGCCCCGAGGGACCAGTGCCTCGTTTTCACTCCCATACTCTATACTTATACAAGTATATATATCATACCATTTATTAACGTCTATAAGGTAGCTTATCGAGCCATGAAAACCATGAAACGAAGTGAAGAAACCCAGTGACCACAACCGCGGAAAAGAGATGACACGATGAAAAAAGGATTTTATTTTGGATCGTTTTTTTTTTTTTTCTTTTTCGCTTTTTTATTGCACTACGCCATTTTATCCTTTTTGTCCTGTTTAAACTTTTGCCGATGTTAAATCATGCAAATTCCCACCAATCATCCCGCTCCCCCCCAAGCAAGACAAAAAACATTTTGTATTACATGTTTCCTTGGGGCTCGGAGTTTCGAGCCACTTTTCGGAAAAGTTTCCATCCAGCGATATTCTTCATCTCTTTGATACTCCCTCCCAGCCCGGAAGACACATAGGACCGACGACAGCCCAAACTGGAAATCAGGGGACTCTTTGTTTTTTCTTTGAGTTGTTTTGGCTGTTTTTTTGGTTTTTTCGCCTTTTGTTTTTCGAGTTTTTGGACATATGTTGTTTTTTTGTTGTCCTGTTTATATTGCTCGGCTTTTTTTGGTTTATTGTTGATTTAAGTCGTTTGCCACCAGTGTTTGATAGAGGCTGACCCCCTGCGCGATGTGTTTTAGCCTTGGGGTTTGTCCTTTGCGGAGCGAAAAGAGGGAGCACGTCTCTGTGGGCAGCGTACTCACCCTGAATGAGCACCATGCGTTTTTTGGTTTCTTAAAGAACGTAACCCAGCCATATCAGTTGAGCAGCCTGGGGCCAGGTACCAGTCCGGGTCACGCGCGGAAGGGAACGGCGGTCCCCGTGTCTAACAAGACGCGGACGCCTCTATTTATCAATCGTTGCCGTTACGTAGTGGGGGTTACAAATTCCACCCACACGCGAGCTCTTCACCGCAGACCATGCCCGATTGTGAGGTCAAAAAAGTCCCGAAAATTCCAACGCCGCACATTCGCCACGTATCAGGCCAGGACCTCATCTATACATTCAGCACCGGCGAACACAGAGCCTTGTAGACCTTGCCCCTTCTACCAATATAGTGAAGCGGCAAGGCGAGGGCGGGTCGCCACCGATGTCTCAAGGCTTGGTTCTTGCGAAATTGCCGAACCGGTCACTTTCTCGTTTCTGTTCTATGGCAATTGTGCGGAGGGAAAACAATCTTCCCCCCTATTTTCATCGGGTGGCGGTACTCTAGGTGTCTTGGTCTTGGCTTTTGGTTTAATTTGTAGGTTGGATAAGGGATGCTGGATCATCAGCCGGAGAAGAATAGCTTCCCAGGTAAAACATAAAGGTGTCCACTTTGTTCCGTCTACGCTCACTTTAAGAGGTGAGCACTGGAGCAGGCTGGATGGCCAATACCGAGGGGACCCCAGGACTTAGCTGTTTCGTAGGTCATAGCGGTCGCGTATTCTTCCATATTTTGTTTGCTCAATCGCCCAAACCCGGCTGTAGCGGATTGTGGAATGTTCTGTTATGCGTTAGTACCACAAGCCCCAAGGCAATATCCATCAGCTATGATCAAAATCGGTCCACGTGGTTGTGGTTCCCGTCAGGCAAGAGAGAAGCTCTTACACCCCAGCACCCTGAAAGCCCACGAAGAGCGTTTTTTTTTTTAAAATTACATCCTCGATCGCAAAATGCAGAGAAACCGGGGACCTTGAGGCCAAGCCCTGTTTGTAGGTCGCGTAGTGACGGCAAAAAGACAAGGTTTTTTTTTGCAATGTGAGCTCTACTTACGCCTCAAAGCCACTTCATCCTCTACCGGAGATATTACAATATAACGCTCGAAGATGGGCGTTATTTACTTTTTCTGGCTTTAATCCATTTTCCTCTGGAAGCAACACCATTAAAGCTGGTCCCCAATCGACGGAGTCCCTCGGAAGCGTTTGTTGGATGTCCAGAGAGAAAAAAAAAAAAAAACGAACGCGAATAGTGGGCTGGCGTGGATAAAAGATGACGCTTTTGGCAGGGAGGGTTTTTTTTTTTTTTTTTTTGTTTAAGTTTTTGCACACAACAAGAGAACAATTAAAAATACAAGACAAAAATTAAAACAACACGAAGCAAGGAACTAACCGATACAAAAAATTCGACCAAACCATATAATGAACCATAAACGAACATACAAAACTAAAAAGCGATTATTTCGTTTGGGAGTTCTCTTGGCCGGGCAGTGAAAACAAAGAGAAGATTACGATAATGATAAAGTTGGGTCTTATACACTCATGAAACCCCGGGGCGCTGGAGCACCAGGCCGCGCCCCTGTTCCTTCACCGGGCGCCGCTCAACTTTGTTTTTCTTCTCGAATCGCGCGGTTAGTTCTGCTGATAGAGACGGGGTGAATGGCTGGTTATGGTATGTTTAACCCCGCTATGTGGAGGCAACGGACCTTACGGGCGGACTGATTCCTCCGGTGGTTAGCGCATTGGGTTGGCACGGACACCTTTGTTTGCACATAGCGGGACCTGGAATCATTTGACTTTTCTCTCCAAGCGGGTGGGAACTGTTTCTTCACACCAGAACTTTAGAAGAAAGAGAAAAATCAGAGCTGTTTCTAGCCAGTTGCTGGGACAATTTACTTCGCCCCGAACTTGACACAGCTTGGAGGTGGAAGTCTTCCGCCTGGGCCAGAGGACTTGAAATTCTTGGTCAAGGTCGTGTAGAGCTAACGGAGCAGACCTTAGTTCCAGTGCAGTGGTTCACTGAGACCATTTCCAAGGCGCGCGCAAATAGGTTCTGCTTTTGTTCTATACACAATATACGTCCGCGTGCGGAGGGGCCCAGTCGAAATTGAGTGCAGAAAGAGTGTTTTCCAAACCCAGTTTTACTCCATAATAGCCTGTGTAAGTTGCTTATCGGCTTTTCCGTCAACCTCGCAAAGGACCTCCCTGACCCCAAAAAGTCTTTGTGACCAGTGGCCAGAAGTGACCCTGGAACGAGCTTGCGTGGGAAGTTTCGCTAGGAGAGGGGGCTACCGTTTCCATCTCTTAAGGCGAGCGGGACCTACCAAATTTCGCGATCCGAAAGCAGGCCATGTTTTGTGTGTAATGTTGTTGGCCTGAGAATTCGGGTATTGGCGGCCATTTGCCCACTGGGATATGCACGTTTTGGGCATTTCTGGAGATCGGCGCCGGGGCAGCAGCTGGGAGCCACTAAGCCAGGTAGTGGGCTGCCATACAATTTTCCACAGTTGGCAGCTCTCGACGCTTGCGGGAAAATCCAGCCCTCAGAGGGCTCCTTTGTGATTCCGCGATTGAACACGACTGGAATTTATTTTAGCATCCCCACCCTTCACGCAGGGGGACACAGCCCAATGGGGTTTTTTCGGGGATGTCTCGAGGTGCAGCACCAATTGACTTTTTATGCGCATAAGGGGGAAGCTTAATAAATTTGGTGGAGGGTTTAGGACAGATGGTTCAGGCTAACTTGTTGGTTTTGTCGATTGTCGAGGTTATGCGTATGTGAGCTTCCGTTTTTTTGTGAGGAGGTCGCCGAAGCGCTGCAGATGTCCGCGCGACAGGACCCAAAGCATGATGCTGACATCAAGGTCTGCGTGACCAAAATTCGAATCTAGTTACCCCGGACGCTGCCTCGTTTCATTTTAAAGTGATTGCAATTTGTGACTATTTGTGACCACGCTTGAGTGCAGTTGCTGTGAAGGGGAACAGCTGGTTGTTTGTGCCTCAGTGGGACGGATGGGCTGTATTATTTGACCGCGCCTGGGGGGGGGGGTGGACGGGGGGGGGGGGGGTGGGTGCGAGGAGCCAAGGGGTCATCTTCGGGGGCCGCGGGGCGGCGGGTCAGATTCGGGGCTTGGGGGCTGGGGTGGGAGGCGGGCGTGGGCCCCCACACAACTTGGGGGGAGGTAGAGGCGCCAGGGGTGTGGAGTGCGTCGCGGGGTGGGGGGGGGGCCGCCGGGCGGGTAGGGGGGGCACGGGTGGCACGGGGGAGGAGGGGTAGGCGGGGGCGGATGGGGCATAAGGAGGCGGGGCAGCCGGGCGGGGACGGGGCGGCAGGGATCGGGGGGGGGTTGGGTAGCTTGGGGCGCGGTGCCACGGGGGAGCGAGGGGGGGCGGGGGGGACGTAGAGGGAGGGGGTAAGGTGACGGGCCGGGGGGGGCCGGTGGGTGAGGATGTTATGGGAGTGCGGGGGGGGGGTGTGGAGCAATGCCTGAAAGAAAGGTGGTAAGCCATGTTCCCGCTTTGTTGTGCATACGCATTTTAAATAAATAAGTAAATAAATAAATACTTTATTCTCGACTATGCGAGGCACGCCCATGGAGGCATGATCAGATATGTACAACTGTACAAACATTTTATGGCAACTGTGACAGTAACGGTAGAAAATTGGTCATATGTCCATGATAAAATAAATAAATAGATAGTTTATTCTCAGTTTTCTAGAGACGCACCAACTTAGGCATGATCAAGGTTTAAAAACTGTTGTGTATCACGATGATACATCGGGTTCAATCGTGTGTAGTTGAAACGGTGTCGGGAAGAGTTGATATGTGAATCTAGTCGACTTGCCAATATGTAGTCGTGGCCTGTGACTTTATTCAGTGGCGAGTCACATCCGCCACGTCGCAGTGTTGTTAAACAGACATTTGTGGCTTTTTATAGGGAGAACGCTTGCCAGGCGAAAACCCACCACGTCCTGCAACACTGCCGTAAAGCATTTTGAACATTAATGTTGAACTGGCAAAGCCGCTTGACGACTGGTTTCACCTTCGGTTTTTCGCGGGGTAATGGCTTCTAATTTCCTCTGTTAGTTGGACGGGTATTTTGATCTGGGTCGCCATGATTTTTGAGGTCGGTGGAGGAGAGGGACATCACGATTTTTCTTCTTGTTGTATGTCCAGGTGAGCAAAAGGTTCAATTTTTCCGCTGTCCAGATTTTTCAGATGTATAATGTATGTGAGTATGAGGATATGTCCAGTTCTCCATACTGGACAAGGGTTATGGTGATTGTAGGTCGGTCCTTGCGGAGTTTTACCATCCTCCATGTCAGTCCTTGTGGGTTGTTACGTCCGTCTTGGGCCAAAACTGTTCCTCAGTCCAATCCCAGATCTCCAAGATGTCCCGGACCTCAGAGAAAAGGGAAAGTGAGGGACAACCGAGAGAAGACCGCAAGAACAGGCATGGAGTTGAATATTGTTAATGTCTTGTGTTACAACATTTAGGCTTGAGACAAAAGCATGTACACTGTGCAACAATAATTATGCTGAAAATGTCTTTTGAGTATCCTATAGAATCATTAGCCGTATAGGTGGATTGCTATCGCCTGCGTAGAGACAAGAGCGTTGCACCAGTAAGTAAAGTACGAGCATCCGTTTGATATGAGTCGATAGTTGCGTGGGGATAGAGCAAAGAGAGTTAGAATGTTGGTAGTGATTGTCAGGTGCATGAACAGCACGTAGTTAGTGTAATCCGAGAGGGGGCATAATAAGCGAAAATAAATAGGTTGCTGCGAGAGAGTCTTAAAGATCAATTGGTGGCAGGGCAGCGGAGGGACTGGATGCAGATATTCTAAAGGAGTAAAGGTTATTGAGATACGAGGTGGCTACTAACAAGCACTGGATCATCGCATATGCATGGGGCCAATGGCCATCAGCTACTTCTGAAGAGAGATGCCGAATTTATGACGACCGACAGATGGTGACGCTAGGAGTGACTCAGTCGCCAGATGCAGCTATCCCAATCAGACGCTTCGTCACTAGTGTATGCCTATAGGGTCGATGAGTGTATCTATAGGCCAGTGAAGGTAAGTGATAGGTCAATGGACCAGCTAAGCTGTGACGCAAACAATCCAAGAGAACGAACGTTGTAAGAGGGAGCGTAATCCGGATATCCGCAAAGTTAGATGGGAGCTATAGCGACTAGCTGCTGCTAGGCAGAGATAGTAGCTCCAGAAAAGAATGAATCAGTGGCTGCTGTGGCCAGGTCATTAAGACGTTTGACCAATACTAGATACCTACAGTTTCAATGAAGAAATCGACATGCGAGCGAAGCTTTAAGAAACAGACGGCAGAAGAGAATGAAGGTTGGAGAGTCAGTGGGTGGCTCCTTGTAATCTACATGGAGCCAACAATGACTAGCTGTTGTCAAGTGGAGTTGACGCGAGTAGGACGAACGACAAATATCGGCGCGCTAAGAGAGAGAAGAGTGACCAGCAATAGAGTTTTGACTAAGCCTTCAGTTACTAGTGGATCCTACGGTGGCACATAATAGGTCAACAAACCATCTGAGCTGTGACGCAAACATTCTAAGATAATGAACATTGTAAGAAAGCAGCGACTCCTACAGATCTCCGGATTTGGGCAGAGTTAAATGGAGGCTATAGCGACTAGCTGCTGCTAAGCAGAGATAGTGGCTCTGGAAAAGAATGAATCAGTGGCTGGTGCAGCCATAGCATTAAGACATTTGTCCACTATTGGATACCTACAGTTTTGATGAAGAAGTCAACAGGCGAGCGAGGTTTAAGAGAGACAGACAACAGAAGAAAATGAAGGCTGGAGAGTCAAGAAGTGACTCCTTGTAGGCTACATGGAGTCAACAATGACTAGCTATTGTCAAGAAAAGTTGAGGCGAGTAAGGTGAACGACGGATAATGGCGCGCTAGGAGAGAGAGATAAAGGCCAGCATTGGAGTTCGGATTAAGCCTCTAGTTACTAGTGGATCCTACGGTGGCACATAAAAGGTCAACAAGCCAGTTGAGCTGTGACGCAAGCAATCCAAGAGTATGAACATTGTAAGAAAGGAGCGACTCCTACAGAGCTCCGGATATCCGCAGAGTTAAATGAAAGCTATGGCAGCTAGCCGCTGCTAAGCAGTGATAGTGGCTCTAGAAAAGGATAAATCAGTGGCTTGTGTACCCATATCATTAAGACGTTTGTCCAATACTGGATACCTACAGTTTCGATGAAGAAATCAACATGCGAGCGAAGCTTAAGAGAGACAGACGACAAAAGAGAATGAAGGATGGAGAGTCAGGGAGTGGCTACTTGTAAGCTACACGGAGTCAACAATGACTAGCTGCTGTCAAGAGGAGTTGACCAGAGTAGGATAACGGCGCGCTAGGAGAGGGATGAATGGTCAGCATTGGAGTTACTAGTGATAAATAGTCGATCCTACGGTAGCACATAATAGGTCAGCAAACCACCTGGGCTGTTACGCAAGCAATCTAAGAGAATGAATATTGTAAGAAAGGAGCGACTCCCACAGATCTCCGGATATCCGCAGAGTTAAATGGAAGCTATGGCAGCTAGCTGCTGCTAAGCAGAGATAATGGATTTAGGAAAGGATGAATCAGTGGCTGGTGTAGCCATGTCATTAAGACGTTTGAGCAATATTGGATACCTACAGTTTCGATGAAGAAATCAACATGCGAGCGAAGCTTAAGAGAGACAGACGGCAAAAGAGAATGAAGGATGGAGAGTCAGGGAGTGGCTCCCTGCAAGCTACCTGGAGCCAACAATGACTAGCTGCTGTCAAGAAGAGGTGACGCGAGTAAGCTGAACGATGGATAGCGGCGCGGTAGGAGGGAGATGTGCAATAAGCGTACGCAAATACACGTACATGCCGTGACCTTATGGCTATGCGCGCTTTTTGTAGTGTAAACGTAGGAGCCGATTTTGACGTCGAGGTGCCGGAAGCTCTTCGCGCTTATTGAACTAAAGCTTATTGTGTCCATGGATCCCCTATACTTAACCATTGTGGTTTCTGTAAAACTGGTAAATGCTACTCCGAGACGGTGCGCGAAAGTGAGCGCAGATATCACAACTCAATTGGAGTAGGACACAGTGGACTGTATTCGATGGGCTACAAGAAGACGCGGACCCATGAAGCAAGACACGAAGTATGCGTTAGCGCAGGAACTTACAAGGAGGTCGATTTTCGAGGTGGTTGTAAGGAAGCTTAAAACAAGAAAGAATAATGTACAATTGGTCAACAACTAAACAGTACAAAAAAGATAGCATTTATATTTTGGGCGCTTTATTTCTGAAGCCTTTGATCAGTACTCTTCTTTTGTCCACCAGACGTTAAGCGTCTACTCTCCGCTTGCTCGCAGTTACTCATCTGCCAAAGAGGCATTTACTTTGCTTTCTTGGGGACCTGGACTCTTACATCTCGCGGGAACGGGTTTGCGGGCCAAGACCTAATGGCAGAGCCGGCAGTATAATGGTAGTGTAAGATATTACTATGTATTTAATCAATTTGTAGAGAGTATAACGGAACGAGTAGCAGAAGTATATAGTAAACGGTGTTCTGTAGCGCATATAGTTCTATAGCATTCGGTAACCTTGGTAGCAAGTCCCCTGCTTTTCCAAATGCAAAACAAGGGTCTAAATTAGACCAAGGTCATGGGATAAGTAAATAGTAACTTTGGTTAATCTGAAAATAAAGAGAATTCTTTTTAGGGGAGTAGATGAAGGGTGATGCAAGTAAAGTGAATGGGAACTGAATATTATGCTAACTTCATATGGTCCGACGTAATAGCATTTTTTGCATAACTGCTAGGCAGAAATGATAGCGTAATCCAAGAAATAGGTGGGGAAGAACGGAAATTGCTGTGAGAATAATATGTAACTAAGGTGGTACACGGATGTGGCACAAATATGCTAGTAACCTTGCGATATGCGCGTACATATTTACATAAAACACTTGTTACGGAAGGCGTATGTGTAAAGTAAAAGTAGCGCGGAAGGGTCAGTTGAATGTCTGAATGCCTGAGCAACAGTAAGTCAGGTGATCTAAGGTGAATGCAAGTCAAAATGCCTGTCGGTCTCTGATCAACGCATGGTGCCTTAATGCTCGCAACTGCTGAATGAGATTTCATTGCGTGCATAAATAATTGCTGTAAGTATATATATATATATATATATATATATATATATGTATATATCAGAGATTGGGGTTTTAAGATGCATACATTTAGGTAAACATAACGCGCATACTAAGGGGTCTTGTTGTTCCTTATGAAACTGTAACAACCTAACTTGGTGATTGATGTTGCGCAAACATTTGCTATGATGGCGAAGTGATGGAGCTGACAAAGGTCTTTCCTTCTGCTCTCTACATTCCAATG